ATATATATATATTAAAAAAAACGTTTTTCAAACTTCTTTGTTTTTTTTATTATTTTTTTCATCTGTTTGTTTTAAACCATTTTTAAGTTTTTCATTTCAAGGGGATTCCATAAGAGGATTGTCTATCAATCTAAAACTTCAAAACCAGAGATCACCACAATAATTAGCGTAATTAGGCTAACAGTAAAAAAAATACATTTAAGAAATTTTGTATAAATGGAGACCTTTTGCGTTCAGATTAGTTTAATGACTGAACTTGTCTTCAGTTAAACTCATTTTCACTGAGGGCCACGTGAGCTTTATGATAGTTGTAATTAGCTTTGATGTTTCGTGTTTGACTAAACATGAAATGTAACGTTTTGCATCTCATCGCTACGGCCGGCTAACAAACAATAACAGCTCTGCATGGTATTTCCTGCATAGAAACAGCAGTTTTACGTGTACGACTGATTAAATGTGAAAAATACTACAGAAATACCATTAAAAGTAAAAGAGTTTTACTCTCTGTTGTGGTGAGTAGCTGCCGTTATGAATTCATAACTCTCCCACGGGTGGGGTGTTCCAGTTTAAACTTACGACTTGCAAGTGTGAAATTCCCACTTCCCAGTACAACTGGGCTGCAGCAAAACATAGATTTTTACATGGTGAGTTTCAGCAGCCGCCCTCTTTAAACCTGTGGTTGCTGTCATGGATAAAATAAAATGCATCATGGGAGAATGATGTAGTTAATGGTTAATGCTGGCTTTAATTATTTTAAGACAGTACAGCTTTGAAGCTCTAGTTGACCGGACACATTTGGCCTGCAGGCCTTGAGTTTGACATGATTTAACAGAAGTAAGCTTGAGCCTATTTAGTGTAGTTAAAGCCTTTTTTTCTTATATTCAATAAAATAATGAAACTAACATAATCTGCAGAGTATTGACTTACTAAAGTATTTAAAGTTTATTGCGTAAACACATTCAATTTCTCTTGGACATCCCTCTTGTCCCATTTTACTTAGTGTGTTTTTTTAGTTTGAGTTATTGTTTAAAATGTGTGTGCGCGATGAGTGGAAAGCGTGTGTTTGCATGACGTCTGAGTGGTTGCGTTAATCTGAACACAGAACAAAAACTGAGCAGCAGGTTTTTGACTCGGCATTGACCACGAGGTGGCCTCACTTTTCCACAGCAAACAGATGTGATGAAACGGCTTTTGTTTGACAACTCCAGCACCTCTTCTCACTGGCTCAGGCACGGCCACCACACTCGGACCTGGGAGTCCTGCTCGGGACYCGGCAGGCGCCGGATATCAGAAACCGTTGCACTGATGGACTCCACTGTGGAACTGCCTTCATTGCTATCATGGCCACAAGGGGCTGCTGCTGCTGCTGCTGCTGGACCCGTTCACGCTGGTGGTGAAGCCATAGACTGAAGCTCTCTGTCGGCCACGCTTTAAAGCAATGCTTCACAGCTGAACATGCAAGTGAAAATGCCCCTGACCTCTCCTGTAGGCGTACACTGGCACAACAAGTGCCTCTTCCTTATTCTGTAAATACCAAAAACAGAGCGAAAAAAAAAGGAGCTTGTTGGTGAATGCAGCATTACTCGAAGGGGAAGCCTAAAGCTTTGTAGTTCTTTAATTTGCAGCTTTACCATGTTTTTCTGTATATTTGAATGTGATCAATGGTCAGGAATGTCATACCTGATGCTGGTGTTAGAGAGTTTTTTTTGTTTTTAATCYAGGCTCAGAGGGCAACGAAAAGAAAAAAAAGCAATCTTCAAAGGGAGGACATTGTCCTAGCAGGCATTTCAAGCCCATTGCAGGACTTTACAACGTAGCAGGTGATACCTGTTACAGAATGGTAGCTTATAATATTTGCAACTATAATGTGCCAGTAAACCTTTTTACTGAAAAAGCCCTCGTGTCCTGTGTGTCCTGCTTTTCCACTGATCGGACAGTTTGTAGGGTTTGATGTTAACTCCACACTTTTATGTTACTTTTTTACTTCAGGCTTTATGAAGGTTTTTCCAAGTTTTTCTATGAATCCTTAACACCGCCTGGTACTTATGTATACAGTAAGTTCCAGACTGAATTATGCATTTATACCAGGGTTTTCATCCCTCTCTCTTTTTCAGTCCAGCACTAACGGTCGATGATTTTTCTTAGTTCAATATTTTTGTTTGTTTGTTAAACCAGCTAACCGAGAATCATTCAGGGGCAGAAACTCAAAGGAATTGTTTCTGTATCGACTCATAACACTTAGCAAAGATCCAGCTTTAATCGGCACCCTGTCACCAAGCCGTGTTCCRGTTTTTTAAGTTGAATTACGCAAAATAAAAATAATTTAAAAAACAGCTGTGATACAATTTGACATAAAATAATATTTTAACATGAAACTCCTGAAAACTTGACTTTCAGTAGATCAGCTGGATATTTATTTTTCTCTATAAATTC